GAGTTCCTCGAGCAACAAATGTCCCAGAACATCGAAGTACTGCGTGAAGACATCGATGATGGCGTACAAGGCGTGATTGCAGGTGGTGGTCATCCACTCTGACTTCTCGGTTACATGCTCCGGTAACTTCATGTTGTCGAAGATGCGGAAGATCACATTGAACAGATCCTTCCACCAGTTGGGCTTGAAGCTCTCCCCGTATGTCTTTACAATCTCAAAAAGCACTGTTAAGGCGCGCGTGCGTACGTCCAGTTTGCAGCGATTGACCACGCAGGAAAGCGAAAACAACATGGGGAACCAGCCACGCACCCACACACGATCCTCCTCCGCCACCGAGGCGTCGTTCTCCATGCCGGCATGCTCCGCAAATAATTGGGGAGCCTCGTGGACGCACTGAGCACAGGTGCGCACTAGACGTATTGCCTCCATGCTGGTGTCCGGGAAACGTGCAGTTGCGAACTCTGACAGACACTTCACCGCATCCTGGAACGAGTCCACCATGATGGCGAACTGGCGCTTGTATAAATCTCCAATGATCTTGCCCGTTGTCTGGAAGGCCAGCTCCACAATCGGCTCCTCGTGATCTCCCGCTGCCAGGTGGAAAATGCTGAAGATGTTCTTCCAACCGGATCGGATGTTATGCGCCTGTGAGTTAACCATCTGGGCGATGCAACGGACCACCATGTCCCGAATAGCCGGCGAAGCGTTCTTCTTCATGATGTGCTCGAAGGGACGCAGGAAATCTTTCTGGAAACGGAAGTTACTAAACTCGCCCTTCTCCATGAACTTCATCGACAGCTGACGCAGTGAATCCAGGGCGAAGAAGGAGATCTCCTCGTTGCTGTTGCATCCGACCGCATTAAAGTGTTCTCCTAGTACTTGCCAAATACGTGACCACTGCAGACGAATTCGCTCCATGTTGTAGTAACTGATCTCCACTATCTTCTGGAGGGAGAACATCCTCGGTTGCTGCTGCTGCAGTTCATCTACAGACACTTGGCAGAGGGCCTTCACAAAGTCCACTATAGCATCACCATCGAGTCGCATGGAGCCGGTGAAGATTCGGTCGACGGCGACGACCACGCTCTGACTGCTGGTCTCGCCGATGTGCTCTTTTACGCTGGGATTCAGCGAATCCTTGAGCGTGGTCTGCGCCCCGGAAAGGAACTGGGGACGCACACCAGTGCCAATTAGTTGTGCCAGTTCAAGCTGGCTAATGCATTTCACAATGTCCAGCCAACTGCTGCCCAGATAGTTGCCATCCGTGTGGGCCACCATGATAAGTGTCTTGATGGTATCGATATTCTTAGCCTTCATCTCGTTAATAGGTGAGTTGGCATTTAAAAGGGTAAATCTCGCCAGCGCCTGGACATAGGCATCTCGCTCCAGAGACATGTGGAAGATGCAGGCGATGCGAATAGCGCATCGGATTCCGTCCAAGCAAAGTGTAGCAATCTCCGGATCATCGCAATCCTGAAGGCCCACCGAAAAGGCGGCCAAAAAAGGTGTCCAAGCCATTTTGAACATGGGTCGCACATGCTCTAGATGTTTCGCTGAGGTGAAGGGTGACTTAACGTGCGAAACAGACTGCATCAGGTTGGTGGCGGTCAGTGAGATCACCTCCATCTCCATGTTCCACAATAGTTTTCGGCGCTTCTCTGTGATGAAGGGCTGCTTCCCAGTGGGTTTCGGCTGTTGGAGCATCCCGGAGTTGTTCTTCATTTTGATCTCGTGCTCGGATATCTCGTCGTAGATGGAGGACAAATACTCCTCGGGCAAATCTGACTTGCTATCGCTGATGCCGCGGTTCATTTTGATGTACTGCTCCTTGGTCATCTTGTGCTTGACCTGCGGCGAGTGGAGATCCGTGGTTAGCATGATGATGCTGAATGCCAGCACGTAGACGGTGTCGGCGCTTTGGAATAGCTGGTTCTGAGGATTACATTCGCAGTATCTGCTGGCGAACTTCTCCATCAATCGATCGATTTTCTGTGCTTCGCCTGGCAGTCGGAATTCCTCGAGGAGAATCCTTAAGGCGGCCACAACCTCGAGCTGTCGGAAGTCAAAAGCGTCGATGTAGGCACACATCACCTCCTTGGAGTGGTCGTCGTTCTCGCCCAGGTAATTGCCAATCACTGTCTTGTCCAGTCGTTCGTCCTCGTGCAGCCAATGCGCAATGTCCTGGCATGTGGCGCCCAATAGCTGCTTCTCTTGCAGGAACTGCACTCCCTTCTGCGGCTTGCGGTTGAATAACTCGATGCCTGTTTCCATCACCTCCTTGCGCATCTTGCGCTCCTCAAGCGCCTCGGGAAGATCTTGCAGTTGTTCCTGATTTGAATTGAGGCTGTGGCTAGAGCCGCTGTGGATGGTTTGGATAGTGGTGTCCGCCTGATCGTGCTCCGTGGTTGTAGGCGACTGCACTTGTAGAGCTGGAACTGGCATGTTGGGATTAACGTACAAGTCCTTGCTCCACTCCACCATGCACTTCAGGATGGAGACGAGACACTCTAGGCCGCGAATGCGCATCGACTTTTCCTGCATGGGATTTGCGCCCAGTTCGAGGGCCTGCCGACCCTGGGCAATTTTCGAAAGATCGTTGACTAGTCTCTCGAAAAGATTTGCCGCCGAAAAGTCGCAATCGTAGTTTACATAGATATCCACCACAGACTGGGCATCGGCGCAAATCCGTGTCAACGCTTGAATCACCATCCATTTGTGCTCGAAGCTGCTTGAGTTGGCCTCCAGAATGTTGAGGAAGATCTCCTTGAAGAACACCTCGATCTGGCGCTTCAGATGCACCTTGAAGTTCGACAATAGAGCCACGAAGATCGAGAGCGACAGCTCGAAGACCTCCGGCACCAGGCTCACTCCGTTGTTGGACAGGGCGACGCAAAGGTACTGCTTAATTGCCATTATGAACATCTCGTTGGAGCGGAAGACGGGTCCGGCGTTCTGGAGGATGAGCAGCAGCAAATGCAACGACAGCACCTTGGAGCGCAGTTCATGCGATTTGGGGTCCGGATGACCCTCCGGTAGAGGCTTCATCGATAGCTTGCACAGAGCCCGGAACACCAGAAACGCATCTTTCTGCAGGATGTGCGTGAACTTGGCGGTGACCACTGCATCATTCTCGCTGTGCAGCTCTACACTGTCGTGATCCGAGTGTGAGGAGTAATCGTTTCCATTGACTGTGGGCTCCGGCTCCACTACCGATTCCTGATCCTTAATGGCCTCATTGTACGCAGCTAGAATACGAAATCGTTATTATTATTGCGCAATGTTAATTAGGTGAGTAGGGGGAGCGTCAGAATATGTTGCACCTTATCGTGCAAATTACTATGCTGACTCATAGGGAAGACAATGAAATGCCGTCATAGACTATAAGGCAACAAAAATTGCGCCCAGCTATTTTATTCATCTAAAAAATTTCCCTTTTGATAAGAGGAATTATTTTATTGGAAATCGAGCTTTCTTGAAAATAGCATAAAGTTTTTGAGTGCCATGTTCTAAGTTTGAAACATTGCTGATATGAATACGATAAGAGAACAGCTTCCGCTCAACAAAAAAAAACTTGAATATTCTTATCAAACAACCGGAATCGAGCGCCACGCACCTGATATGATCTCCGCTAGTAATTCCGAGGCAATGACTTCGTCAGAATCCCCCGCTGGCTCCTCTGCACTGCCATTGCAGTCCTCCGAGTGGATACTACCGTTGATGGGATTGGAATTGGGCGGTGGTAGCTCGTACACCTGGTTTTCCATGCGCGCAAAGATCACGTTTAGCATTTGGGTGAGTGTGGCGCGGGCGGTGGTCTGGTTGACCAGGTTCTTGCTGGACAGATAGATGTCATAGCAGGTGCGCACGGCCTGGAGCAGCGTGAACTCGTGAATTTCAACATGCTGCGAGGTGACCACAGTGAGCAGGGCCTTGATGATCTGCAGCTGGACGCCCTCATCGGTCTGGGGACCACTGAAGCAGCCGTAGATGGTCACAACGATACGGTCGATGAGTAGGTGCCCGGGATTCGCCGAGTCTTGAATGGATCCTGTCAAGTGTCCATAGGCAATAAGCTTCTGCAGGCAATCCAAAGCGGTCACCACGATCCGGGGCGAGCGGCTTTTGCAAGCCAACTCGAAGGGCAGAAAGTAGGTCTCCGCATTAATGATGCTCGCTGCATCATTTTTAGGGAGCGGAAGTGCGGCACAGGGCAGCTCATTGCCCTCGGCGATCTGGCCAGCGCTTATCAGCTCCGCCTTGATCTGCTCTAGCGCCGAATCGCAGGACTTTTTCAGCTGCGAGTGGTGGGAGCGCCGTATGTCCTTGTCGGCAAGGATCTTCTCGAGAGCACGCACGATGAACATTTCCTTGGTCTTCGTGGAGTTGTTGTGCATATTGGGCAGCTGCCACTCCCAAGGTCGTCTCCGCTGGGTGGTGGTTTCTATGCCTCCTCCTCGTCCGGATTCTCCTCTGCCCTCCGATTCCGGAAACGAAAGCCACGCAACTTTCGCTGCTGCCTTCTGGATGCTCCGCCAGCTGCGCGGAGTGCTCCTCTCGGTTGGGTTGACGTCTGGCGGCACTCGACGAGTTTTTAGCGTGTCGTAGGCATTTGCATGTTGCAAATCTTTCACTTTTTCAATATTTAACTTCAAAATACAATGCGAAAAAACGTCATCAGAAGTGTGACCGTAAAAGGGAAACGTGTTTAGCCAAAATTACTAAGCTGCCAGTGTTGAAAAGTTTTTAGTATTTTGTGGCACATATTATTTTTCCGTTATCTTTTCGCATTGCTGGTATCACCTTTATTTAAATATTCAACTGCGTTTAGGGATAACAAAAATTGTGAACCCCATGAAATCATAACATTGCAATAACATTTAAAATTAAAGAAAACAATAATAAATATTAAAAGAACAAATGGTAATTTAAATAATATGCTAGGCTTGATGTTTGCTATTTTTATATATATTTGATAAAAAATACATTTTCAATTAGGCTGTATACTTTTTTTTTTAGCTGTGGAAAATAAATACATATTTATACATTAAAAAAATGTATTTCTCTTAACAAATAATGGTTAATTCCCGTAAGTGGGAAAACATTTAAGAACATACTACATACATAACACATCTTGACTAAACAAAGTCGTTAAATATTGAAAAATAAAACTAAATTTAAATTACAGATACATTTGCTATTGACAAGAGTTATGTAAAAAGTGAACAATTTGAAAGCTGCATATGTATATGGAGTAAATTGTAGTAGTAGTGCTGACTACGCTATAACTGCCATTCCTTCGTCGGAACGTCAGCCATGAATAGGACGTTCTCCATGTCGTTCTCAAGGAGTCTGGCATACTGCTCCGTCACCGCCGCTCCATCTGCAGTGAAAAGCCGCGCCGGCGACACTGCCGTTGCCGGAATGTGCAGATACCTTTGGGCCACTGTGTGTAGAAAGGGATGTGTTGGCGACAGCTCCTGCCAGAGCTGAAAGGGGTCCGCCTGCAGTGTGCTCATGCCAGCACAGAAGTATGTGGCTATCTCATCGTCGGCATCGGGTCCGTTGCTCCCGTTGATGAGCCGCTGCTTTTCGTGCGAAAAGGCCTTGTACGCCGCCCAGATGTCGAAGTTGTCGTGGTCTACAGGAACTTCACCGGATACTGCCCCTTCGCTGTCCACATGCGCCTGCATCATGTCATACAGCTGCGTCATGTATTTGGCCACCAGGGCCCCGCTTTGGAAGGGAATATTGCGGAAACGTGGATCCATCAGACTTGCCATTGCCAAGTGCAAGTTCCTTTCCATGCTTTCGAAGTCCTTCTCCAGCTGTTGCCCCATAAAGCAGCGCAACTCCTTGGTCACCTTGTGCTCCAAACTCTTCTCCTGCTTCAGTTCGTTAATCAGGGTGTGGGCCATTGGCAATGCCTTGCTGGCCCCCGGAAAGGGTGTTCGCGTGAGTTCACGCATGGAGCTCGTCAGTGGTTTCAGCACGTCCAGTATCTGCTGGCTCAAATCGACCTCCGCCGGCGAAAGTGGATGTGACTCTCCCAAATGAACGGAGGAATGTTTCAGGTACAGGTCTAGCATATCGTATGTACTAATTGGTCGCTGCATCAAGTCCAGCTTAAGCTTGATCTGTGAGCTGGGATCTCCAGACTCCCGGTAAGCCTCCACATAGGTGCGAACTTTCTCGCACATGCCATGGATCTCGGGGCGCTGCACCACTGCCTCCAGGAGCGAGTTCAGCTGGTCAGCGAAACATGGTACATAATGTTGGGCGCTCAGAAAGAAGGTCACCGCGTTCTCCAGCAGGCGACTTCTGCTGGTCGTCACGCAGGTGATCTTTGACTTGTTAATATCATAGCGCTGACACACACGCTCCATGCGATCCACTACACAGCTGGATGTCAAGGGATCGGGAAGGGTTTGCACAGAAAGTGTCCGGGAGATTCGATGCCGTCCATCGTTAAAGTGGGCCACCATCTCCAACCAGCTTTGACCTTCGGACTTTGTGTGCATCGAGCAACTGAGGCTAAGGGTGGAGACGGCTGCTAACTGTTGCCGGAGCTTGGATCTCTGCAGCTGTGCCTCTCTGCTTATGTACGCTTCCAGTTCCGTCACACTGGGAGGCTTGTAGGTGGGGCAAAGCACGTTTAATAGGTGCTGGAATCCTTCGCCGTGGATAATCTGCAGCGGTTGACGGTCGCGGCAGATGAAAAAGGCCATGTCTTTGTGAAACGAACGTCGGCCAGGCACTAGTACTTCATGGTTGAAGTTGCTGCAAAAATAAAACTATTACTTTTCAGCAAACGAAAGATTTCATTGCCCTGCCGTTATTTTGAACTATTGACTTGGTATCGATCTCCTTTAACAACAGTTCAGAGATAACTTACTCAACTTCTTGGAGTGGTAGATCCTGGACCTGGTGAAAGGAACTTCTGGCTACCTCTTCAGGTTCTTCCTTGGGCTCGAACTCGATGATGTCCTCGGCGCTAACAGTTTCTGTTCCGGAGACCGCTTCGGGTGTAACCCATGCATACCCGACGCTCTGCACGGCGATGTGATCCTCCGAACCCGTTTTGCCCGATCCTTGTGCCTCCAACTCGATGAAACCGCCTGAGTCCTTGGCCGCCTTAAAAACCAGTTCGCTGTGGAAGTCGGAGCTCTCCTCTTTGAAGGACACAACCTTCCGCATCCTTCGCTTAAGGTCATCCGACTCGCGCCGCTTGTAAATACCCCTTATCACCACCGTATCATCATCGAAGAGATCTCTGTAATTTAGCCAGATATTGGTAAAGGCTCCTTTGAATTCGGAAATTTCCTACACTTGCGGATGCGTTTTCATGTGCTTCATTAGATTGGAGGTGTTGCCACAAGTTTTTATGACCTTCTCGCACAACTGACATTGGGCAGAATTTCGATCCAACTTGTCGTAATACCTCCATATCTTACTTCGCGACATAACCAAGTTAAATCAGGATTTCGGCGTTTATTTTGTAAATAAACGCCAAATTAGTGTGGCCAAGTGGTAAGAGCCCACTTCAAACAAATATTCTTGGACTAACGTTGAGGGCCACTCTACACGAGATGAATTTTAATCTGTTTTAATTTTTATTGTATTTTTACTTAAATAATAATAAACATATATTCTGTATACATGCTGGGAATATATCTACTTAACCAGTTCTTTATTAATTTAAAAAACATTGCATGTAAGCGTTACAAGTATCTGCGCGCGTAAATTTAAAAATTCGTAAGCCCTGAAAAGCAATAATTTCCAATTTGTTATTAGAAATACCTAAATATAAATATAATTAAAACATTTACTAACTAAACTAAATTAATTTGAAATTGAAAAAAATTGGATAATAAAATATATGTTTTGGTTTCTTAAGAGAAAAGGATAGGTTTTCATAGTTTTTGGAACAACCATTTAATGCGTTCTTCTTTATTTTGTATTTAAATTATATTAATATTTAATTTGAAAATATCCTGCCGACAGCATGAGCCCAAGTGACCGCCGTCGCAGGGATGAATAAAGAGATTCTTAGTTGAAGTGAATACTGTTAAGTGAAATTTATACAGATGGATAGATGGTGTCGCGGTAAGGGCGTGCCCGATCCCCACGACGGCAGTCTTATGCTCTGTTCTTGTGATATTCGAAACAGCCTTTCTAGCAGGCTTATACGTTGCTGATACCAGGACTTTGTTCTACTGAGGATTGGCGCGACGTCGATTGTGATTTTGCCTGTTTTTCAAATTTGAGAAAAATATCCTCCAAGGTGCACTCGTTGAGCGAATAGTCCGCCACGAGGTCACTTAGCCGATCGGCCAAGTACTCCTCCGCTATTTTAAACACATCCGACCAGAGGACTATGCTGTCCTGGGTGCTCACAAAGTAGGTGAGGGTGCCGGCATGGCTCTCGCGCAGTTCCAGTCCCGCAAACTGAGCTTTAAGCGTACCTGTGATCGTGTTCACATTCTCGTCCAACTCGGTGTCCTCCTTCATTTTCAGTTTTATGGTAAAGCCGCTTAATCGCTTCAGGGCACAGATATTATTCAGGCAGTTGAATTTGCCATGTGCCATGATGGCTAAGCGATTGCACAGCTCTTCACACTCGTCCATGCTGCAAAAGGGTGAGTTATATATTACAATCTGGATGGACCTAAGATAGCTTCTTTACCTGTGCGACGTGAGCACCACAGTTCGGTCCTGCGCCTGAAAGTCCTTGATACACTGCCAAAGAAACCGTCTCGAAATGGGATCAACGCCGGTGGTGGGTTCGTCCAGGAGCACCAAAGTGGGTCCACCTATCATGGCCATGGCGGCCAGAAGCTTGCGCTTTGTCCCGCCCGAATAGTGGCGCACTTGCACCTGCTGATACTTTGTCAAATGCATCTTTTCCAGCCAATACTTTACGTTTTCTTTCACGCTGGTTGGACCCTCGGTGGCGCTAGTTAAGCCGCGCAGCATGGCCATATAGTGCAGGCACTGCTCAGCGGTCATGAATTTATTCAGGGCATCGTACTGCGGGCAGTAGCCAAAACAATGCCGATATGCTACCTCGTCCTTGCGAATTTCAAAGCCATCGATGCGTATGTTGCCACCGTCCAACGGCAAGTTGGCTGCTATCATCTGGAAGGTACTTGTCTTCCCCGCTCCATTCACGCCGAGAAGGCCAAAGCACTCTCCACGGGCGGCCGCAAAGCTCAGCCCGTCCACAGCCACCTTCTCCTTGTAACGCTTGCGGAGATTACTAACAACCAGTGGGAATTCGTGCGACGGGTCCTTAATCAGCTCCTTAACCCGCTGCTCCTCCTTTGCACAATCATCGATGACCGAGATCGGAGTGGTGGGAACGGTGCCCGTTGAATTGTTTTTCTTTTTCTGGAATGTCCAATTCCAGATGCCATCGTGAATTCGTCGCCGCAGATACTTGTGCTCCAGCACGATGGTGAAGAAAGCCATGACCAGAACACATACGGCGGTCGCATAAGCAAAGAATGTCTCCTCGCTGGTGAGTTGTTTTATCTGGGTCGAACGGCGTCGGGCAATAAAGTTTTCGTTGATGATGCGTAACTGATGGTTTAGATTAAAGTCCGGAAGGAAGCAGAGGAAGGCGATCTTGGTTTCGTGCAGTTTCATGGCCGCTGCATTGCTAGACGTGATCAGGGGGGCAATTGCTAAAGGAAAAAACGCATATTATTATATATATTGATTCCGGTTGATGTGTGTAAATGCAAATATTACCCGACACAATCAGCATCAGAAGCAGGTACGTAGATATCGTGGAGATGGACTTGAAGCTGTTGCCCAGGGCGTAGAGAATGGGCAAGTAGCTACAACAGTAGAAGAATATGCTCATTACAATGACACTCAGTTCTGCTGTAGAGTAGAGCTCGACGGGCATAACCAAGTGTTGCAGAAGAAACAGTGCGGAGCAGACGAAGATCAAGAGCAGCATATCAAAGGCGAAATGGGCCAGCCAGTAGGTAAATCGCGACATGGTCTGCAGCTGGCGGAACCCATTGGCGTATTCTCGAAACGGCAGCGAGATAAAATAGAACATGAAGAAAAACATTCCCACGGACACGATGACCGCATAGTATTCCAGGCGGGAAGGGCTGATATCGCTAACGAATCGACGTATGGGCACGTAGGTGGTCTCAATGTCCGATTCTGGATTATCTAGCTTCAGCATTGCGGAATCCACCAGGTTTATTAGCTCCACAGAGCTGTGATACCGATTCCCCGAGAAGAAGATCTCTAAGGTGGGCGTATCTGCGGTCCCACGCCCACCGCCATACATGTCAATGATACCAATCACCTGTTCCAGGAAATCAGCCAAGTTATCGCGTTGCAAATCGAGGGATTCTATAGAAAAAATAATAATATAATTAAAATTTTTAGCACGATGAGCAATACACACCATTTTTAACATCATTGCTCCCACGTAGGTGCATTGTTTTCACTGTGATTCCACTCAGCTCGATCTGCTGACGCAGCTGCTGCTCCACCTGGGCATGATGGCCTGTCGGATTGTGGATGTATATGACGCCACTACCCATCTGGCTGAGTTTCAGCGGAAGTGCCTCCTCGTTCTCCACTATAGACATGGCGTGCATTACGACTATAGCCACACAAACGCAAACAAAGGGAATGCACAGCTGGAGGGGATGGAGGGAAAATAGGAAACCAAAGTACAAATAATGCAATGCTATACAAAGTTTGCTTATCATGTAAGTACAGCAAACAGTCCTATAAATTAATAATGATAGCAATGCATACCATTATCAGCGAATATAACCATTCATTGGAGATAAATGTCCACTTCTTATAAAACACCGCCATCCAAAGTTGCAGCAAACTGGGTTGCACCGGTTGGCTGGACATTCGCTTATAGGGGGTCGTCAGTAGCGGCGCATCATTTCTGGAACCATCCGGGGTGTCCACCTGGTCTTGCTCCCCAGCACATCTGAAAATAACATAGAATTACATGAATTACATAAACAAAATAAACTTTTTATTCCCAAAAACCTACCTTAAGAAAACATCCTCCAAGGAAGTATCCGTCATTGAAATTGTACTTATGCCTAGCTGATTCGTTTTCGTCTCCAGCTTGTGTAGCATTTCTGAGAAGCACTTCTTATAAGCATATGGTAGACAAATATACACAGTCGGTTTCACCACATTCTGTTGGAAGTTTAAAAGAACTTTAGCACATGCTATTACCTAAAACAGTAAATAAGGTATCTTACCAAGACTCGGGCTGTCGGTACAAAGTTGTGTATTATTTCCATTATTTCGTTTTCGCGAAATGTAAAGTCTTTGACCTCCAGTTTCAAGCGATAGCCAATGCCCGATTTGCGTTTTAATTCCAACGGAGTCCCAGTGGTTTGCAGCCTGCCATTGGACAGTATGCAGATGGTGTCCCCAAGCACTTCGGCCTCCTCCATGTAATGGGTAGTAACCAGAATGGCCTTCTCTTTGCGCAGAGTCAAAAGAATATCCCACAGTTCACGGCGGGAGTTTATATCTAGTCCCGATGAAGGCTCGTCAAGAATTACTATTCTGTGGATAAATTATTAAAATTTTTAAAAGTTCATTTCTTTTTAAAAAATATTTGAAGTTTACTTGGTGTTTCCAGCAATTGCGATACCCAATGAAAGTCGTCTCTTCATGCCTCCCGACAAATTCCGCCCGAATTCGTTTTCCTTGTCGCCGAGTCCTAGTTTTTTAAGTTTCAATTTTGCCCACTCACGGGCATCCGAGCGACGAGCTCCACGCAGCTGAGCAAAAAACTCCAAATGCTGGTGACAGGTCATGTAGCTCATGAATACACTGTGCTGGGGACAAAAGCCAATCAGGTGGCGATAGGAAGCCACATCGCGCTCACTGCACACAGTTATCTTGCCCGAATCCTTAGGCACCAGTCCTGCAGAAGACAGAGGATTAGCATGAGATGGTCATAAAGAGAGATTGGTTTTGCTTGCTCACCCATTATCATGTTCATCATCGTGGTCTTGCCAGCACCGTTGTGACCCAGTAAAACCGTGATCTCCTTGTTGTTGATTGTCATATTTAAGTTGTCCGAAATAAGCGTTTCACGTTTACTTGTCTGGAACTTCTTGCACAACTCTTGAATTATAATGGCGTGGGTGCCGCGCGGTGCTGTCGTGTATTCGTTTCGTTGTCGTTTCTGGTACGTCTTGGGCTAAAATGTTTAAAATAAACATTTAAAATCGGAAAGACACCGTTTTTTAGAACATACCATTGATTCAAACCGTAACCGAAACCTTGAAACGCCCGAAACGAATTGATAAACCGATAAAATAACTGAAATAAAATGGTGAAATTTGGGCAAATCCAAATAAATGTAAGATTATTTCAGCTTACCGATGCCGAAAATAAACGAGAAACAAAATGAATCTAGAATCTTACCGAATCCGAAAGCACGACGATTATAAGAACGAGTAACACTAACGCAAATACTATATTCGACCGAGCCCCTATCAAAATTAAATCTAAGATTAAATAAACCAATCAGAAAATGTATCCGTGTAACAAAATATATTATAAGTGCAAAGGAAAACGGGAAGACAAGTACGAACACTCCAATCCGAACCCGAGATTCGATTTTATGTCTGGTACTTACATCTAAGAAAAACAAAATTGGTCGTTTAAGTCCGCCAGGACCTGGATACACACAACCCAAGTAGTTGTAGAGCAGGGCGTATAAAAAAGATTGAAAAATGAGCATAACATAGACCCAAATCATCCTATAGGAATCGTATTTGATTTTACGGAAGAGATCCGCGGCCCCAAATTCGCGATCTACAACAGAAACCAGGGACAAAAATAGAATGTTAAGCTAAAAATACCATATTAATGAAATCCTTACGCTTATTCGTGAATGTCTGGAAAACATCCAATCCCTCCAAAAAGGCGTTGGTGCTAAAACAGACAAATGCCAGCGATGTGGCCCAGCTTCGAACGAAAGAAAACACATATGGAATGATTAACATCATTAGGCCGCCGATCTTCGCATAGAAAACTGAAAGCCAAAATAAGAGATTTTATAAAGATAAAACGGATATCGAAGTAGATGGTTACCTGAATGGAAACAAACTGAGATCAAATATGCGTAAGACATGGAGGATAAAATATAAAGCAAAAACAATATCGCCACATAGACGAAGCATATCAGCCCCAGTGCCTTGTAGACATGTGCAGCGACCAGGACATAAATTATCAGTAATGTGTAGCACACAAAGCGTATAATGAAGAACGTAAGGCCGTTAAGAAAACTCATGGGCGTAACCAGGTTGAGAAATTCTTTCAGGCCGTTCTGCTTCTCCTCCACAAATGGCACAACAAAGGTACTCAGCAAAACGACTTTAAACAGGATGCTGCACAGGGTGCCAAAATAAGTCAGCCGATGACTATCCATACTAATAACCTCTAGATTTGGCATCGAGCTGACCAGCACTTCATAGTTTTTGCCCAGCTCCTGGTATTTCATATACTGTTTGTCCAGTATATGTTGCAAGGTGAGGAACCCCGCCCGAATATAATCATCGTCATCTGAAAGAAAAGAACAAAGCGCGGGATCGTTAAACGGGAACAAGGGTCATCTGGAACACGCACCTTTTTGGTGATTAATCTCCTCGTCGTTTACGTAGCGTTTTTTGGGTGAAATCCGCATCTGATTTGAGCTCAGGCTGAATTGAAACTTTCCACCAGAGCCACGATTAGGCACCTGATTAAAGTTGATGGCGAAGCAGCTTTCCCGACACTGTTGCTCCATATCCAGCTGCATCTCGAAACTGTTATTGTAGGCCCGCAGCCCTAAGAGAGAAAGTATCAATTAACAATGTGTGACTTTATAAAAATGTTCTACAACAGCTCAAATAGATACATATGTATCTTGATTCTCAGATAAAATGGCAAAATTCTATGGTAAAAAAAAACTGGGTATTTGAATATCAAATTGACATGCTAATTTGCATAAAATTAATTATAATTAACACATCTTTTGGGGACTTACGCTCTGGTATGATTCCCAGATCCCGACGCAGGAGGTCCACGATGTCCTCCACGTTCGAGGTGCTGGGTGCATAGTATATGTAGTCAAATTCATTTCCGGGGAAGTACGTTTCTTTAAGTACCATCTAACAAGTGAATATAATCAAATTAGTGTGAATTGCGGTCATGGGTTTTTATATAAATTGCAGATAACACCTATGTAAGTATGTATTTTACACTTACGTATATGTTACTTTCAAGGTATGTCACTTGCTGTAATCAACTCACCTCATTTTTGGGCTCAAACTCTTCCAGTTGGTACTGGACAGGCTTAGTTGACCAGTGTAAGTAGCTAGTCAGGACTCCACAGAATCCGATGAATATGCACAACAGTGGTATACAATTGCATCGCAAATACAGCAGGTTCTTCCGAAGAAAAACAAAGAACAACGGGCTGCAACTGCAAGCCATTTTTGATAAATGGCACAACTTTCCCCAACTATTCGTTTTTTCCTCTCTATTGTTGTGACGAGGCGTCAACTTTATCGCTTGGCTTGCGATGAGCTAAATGTTTTGAGCGAAAACTTATCGAAATTTACATAGCAACCGCACCCGCTACACAATTCCCCTTAGGGGAATCAGACATATGTATATATGTAATATATATTGCGATCAACAGGGCACCAATGACTGCACTCTAGTAAATTTATACAAATATGCGTAGATTATTTTTGCACCCCATTCATTAGAGATGAGGATCGAAAACAAATACAAAAATGGCTAGATGGCTGACATTACAATCTTTTAATTAAGTTTTTAGTAATAACCTATGTATTGTTCTTACTCATTTTCATGTATTACTGTCACCCCAGGCGAGCAGAAGGTATAGTTGCTAGTGCTTTTAATAAATAGTTAGTCTATAGTTATACGTAGCTTAATATAAATAAATAACATTTTATAAAAGAAAATAAAAAGCTGACTCGAAAAGCAGCAGCTAAAGTTTTAACATAAATAAATAATTTAAATAACAAAAAAATAATTTAAAAAAAGTTTTTTCATTATACATCGTTATTAAATGGTTCAGATCTAGCGTGAAATTAGCCATATGGCAGAGGGTCTGTCGATATATCGATAAGCCTTGCTTGCAATCGGTATCTCTTTGCAAAAAAAAAACAATAAGCAATGAGCGGCTCGCAATTATTTCCCTTGAATCTGAACAATCTGACGGCAAAGGAGCGACACAACTATATCCTTAACCAATACGTGCTCAACTCCCCGGCGGAGGCGGAATCCCGCCGCCACAAGCGGGACATCGATGTCATCCGGGAGAATCACCGCTTTTTGTGGGATGATGAGGATGTGGACAGCGACTCCCTGAGTTGGGAGCAGCGTTTGGCCCTGCGCTACTACAAGAAGCTCTTCAAGGAATACTGCATAGCGGATTTATCCCGCTACAAGGAGAACAAGATAGCCCTGCGCTGGCGAACGGAGCAGGAGGTTGTCACCGGTACAGGACAGTTCCAGTGCGGCAGTCGTCATTGCGGGGAGCGGACGAATTTGCGCAGCTGGGAAGTCAACTTCAAGTACATCGAAAAGGGAGAGCCCCTGAATGCGTTGGTTAAGGTGCGTTTCGAAAAATAATACATAAATACCTAACTTATTGGAATCCCATAATTCTGTAGGTGCGCCTTTGTCCTACCCATACGGATCAGCTGAACTTTCGCACCAAGAAGAAGGAGTACAAGAAACAACGACGCAGGGAAAAGGAGGAACGTAGGGCTGAGCGAAAACGAAAGCGTCGCAGATTGGATGTCAATCATGAAAGTTCCACAGATGGCGAAGAGGAGGAGGAGTATGAAGGAACAGCCCCCGAATCCCAGCCAGAAACCATCAAGGAGCCCACAACAGAAAACGAAACGGACGACCAAATTTGGTTACAGCAACCCGATCTCGGCCAGGAGCAGACCTCTAGGGAGCAGGAGTTCGAGCGCTATCTTGAGGATCTTCTCTTTTAAAATACATAGCACATTTATTTGGATTCAACGTAGACACTAGTGCTCTTTTTATAGTTACTGGCCGCGAGATGCGTTCGCTTACGAACTAGGATGTACATGTACACTCACATTTACAGGATTATTCACAAGAACTGTGTGTTTTAAAACCGACACCAAATCTAAAGTTGAACTGGACATTAAGGCTGTGACTTTGATTTTTGGAAACATTTCCAAATCGCTACATTATATGCATGTACCTAGTTCAACCGCAATTTCTGTATTCATCGAATGCTAATCGGGGGTTCGAAAATACATTTTCACCTTACTTTTACGTGCGCTTCTGTGGTCACAACAAATTGTTTAAATCCAGCCACTGAAGCGTTTCTAAATATAAATCGCTCTAGAATAAATATCCCACATTGTTTACACTCGACGAATAGAGAAATCACGACTGAGCACATCCGCTTGAACTAGGTGTAAAGAAGACTCATCTAAATGTATATAGCATCATTGAACGGACAGGGACATCGGACGGGATTACTGCTCCTTGGGCAGTAGCTCGGCGAAGGCGGCTGTGGGCTTAAAAGCCGTCACCTCAGTGAAGACCATCTCCCGCCATTTCTCCACCGGCAGCTCGTTCTCCTCGAAGCTCTGGTCGTACAGCGCAGCTGTCTGCTCGTCGGTCGGATCGTGGTATTTCTCCATGTATGGATGGGCCAGCGCTTGCTCGGCGGTGATGCGCTTGTCGGCGTCCAGCTCCAGCATCTTCTCCAGAAGATCGATGGCCAGCGGATTGGCACCGCGGAAGATGTCTCGGAAGTTGCGCCGCGGCATCACTGGCAGCGATCGGATGTAGTTTCGGGCGCTCTCCGAGGAGATCCGGCTCATGAACTCGTCGGCCGGCGTGCCCAGCACCTCCATGATCAGGTTCAACTGGTGAATGTGATCGGTTCCCGGGAAGAGGGTGCGTCCCGTCAGCAGCTCGGCCATGATGCAGCCCACCGACCAGATATCTACCGTCTGGTTGTAGTGCATCCAGTTGAGCATGATCTCAGGCGCCCGGTACCATCGCGTGGCCACGTACCCGGTCATCTCGCTCTCCGCGGGACGGGCTAAGCCAAAGTCCAGGATGCGCAGCTCGCAGTCCTCGTTAACCGCGATATTTGAGGGCTTCAGGTCGCGATGAATGACCCCGGCGCTGTGGATGTACTTCAGGCCGCGCAGGATCTGGTAGATTAGGAACTGGACATGGTCGTCCGACAGCTTCTGGGTGCGAATGATGTTGTTCAGATCGGCGTCCATCAGGTGCGTCACCATGTACACCTGTTGGAACTGCTCCAGCGAATCGGCGGGCTGTCCGGGATGAAATACGTCCAGCAGGCCGATGACATTCTCGTGGTCCATATGCTTCAGTAGCCGAAGCTCCCGGTAGGTGCGCTTGGCATGCACTGCCGACTGGAAGGGCCTGGCCAGCTTCTTGATGGCCACCTTTGTGCTGGTTCCACGGACCACGGCCTTGCACACCTGACCGTAGGCTCCCTGACCCACGGGCTGGAGGTTCTGGTACGTCTCCGGTATCTCCCACTCGGTGCGGTTGATATCCAGCTTGTAGAACTTGGCCATTTTACGCGACATTTCGTTGTTATTGCTTTTATTCAGGTGCTATTAATGTTGTTAATCCGTTGGCTCTTTTCTGATTGGTCTTCTTCTTGCTCGTGCGATTTGTTATCTCAGTTTCGGCCTCAACATTGCTGGAAATGAGTAATCGTTAGGGGAATTAGTGGAAAATGAAGCTTAATTCCGGTATTCCCTTAAAGATTCATTTGTATCTGCATAACTGGAGCATAGCTTACATCTTTAAGATTTAATTTATGCTATTCCTCTGCGCCTACACTTTTTCTGATTGGACAACAACGCTGCTTTGCCTATCGATTACCACAGTTGGGCCGATTACCAATCAGCTGTGACTCGTTTATGCGTTAACATCATCATTTGGAGCTTCTTCGCTGCAAAACTCAAAGTCCATCAGGTCAACGACTTATTTTACCAATGCTTTCTGCGTAGTATCGTTTAAAGTTAAGTTTTGTTTTTAATTATTGTTTGAGAATTCTAGTTAATTACTGCGTATTTTAAATATTTAATTTTAGATTTCATGTTTACCAACATTATTGATTGCTTATAACTTTTTAAAATAAAACAAAATATTATACCAATTTAAATTATTTTTTTATTCACCATAACATTTTTTAATAAATTTATGCTTGTTAAAAATTAAAGCAACAAAAAGAAGTTATACCAACATAGGAAACATTTTAACGATAACAATCTTTAAGACTATTATTTTAAATATAGATACTATTTTTAAGGACAATAATATAATAATATATATTGTAAATTTGCTCAGCTATATTTCAGATTATTTATGTTTGACTACCATTTTCGAGCAAAGGGCATTCCCAAGTCGACCATAGAGTTAAACCCCCTTTTGGGGCTTAACATCGCCTGTGTCATCTGCAACAGAAGGCGGTCAGTTGGCGTAAGCTGGTTTAGTTTCAATCGGTCGCTCGTTGGCTCTACATCCAAAGTCCGGATCCACGACGCTCTTGCTGCCGACGTTTTTTGCACGAGTTTTTTCCATACGTATTTGTTCATTGACAAAAACTCAAGCTGCGCTCTGTGCGTGCGTGTGTGTGCCCGTGCATGTGTGTGTGAGCGCGCGCAATTGTGTGAGTGCGGTGCTTTGTGTGCAGAATAATTTTTGCAAACATTATGTAAATGCGCAAATTAAAGTTCAATCGACGCCAGTTTTGAGTCCGAAACCAGATCGCCTTGCTTTAAGTGCCACGGAGCAACAGTTTTTTGATTAGAAATACAAAATAAACTCCTAGAACTCCCACAAACAAATCGAAACACAGTAAGGATCTCAAAAGATCCGGCGGATACACCTTTACCGTTACGAAAATCTTAAAATGGCCACGACAGCGGCCGCAATGGCCGCCACAAGTGTTGTTGTTCTCGATCGCGGTAACAATACGACTTGCACCATCAACTTGCACGGTGAGCAGATATCTAGTCTTCAGAAATAAAAAAATAAAGAAATACAAACCCACAATTAATCATAATTAACGAAAACACCAGCGGACTCTGCCAAAAATTGACTAGCGTTATTTTTAGCGCATGATTGGCTTAGACTTTCGTTCCCTGGGAGTTTCCGAAATCGAAACCCGTTTCGCCCCCCATTTGTCGTATTCGCGACCTCTGGAGGTTATCAGTTCGTTCTCGAAACAACCTTGTTTATACCTTTCGGTGTTCTACGCACCAACTAGAAGAGCTTTTGGTTATCTTATCAGCCTAGATCGGAGCGGTATAGGGGGTAAATACTTACGATCGCTCGGGATCAGTTCGGATCGGCTTTGGGCCAGCTTAGAGCTTAGGCTGGATCATGGAGCTCCATTCCCAGCTCTGGGGCTCCTACTCGCAGCACATTTCGATTAGGCGTTATATATACCAATATACACATAGGTGTATACAACAGGCCCCTCACTATGAGCACCTAAGTACGTATGTGTGTTGGTACCCAGCGTACTTTCAACAATTACGACTGCCTGTGTCTGGCCTGCCCACGTTAGTTTCCAACTCGCAGCCGTTTGAGCAACAGTCAGACAGCCAGTCAGAGACACAACAGCGTTTGGCACAGACTGCGGGACGTACACCCGAAATAAAACTATTTAAATATGATCGATATCGGCACCTAAGAGATGGGTTTTAATAAGATGGCCCCTCAGAATGGGTACTTAAAATTAAGAAAGGTTCAGTAGTTTAAGGTAATAAATACCTTATTGTATCCAATCTTAGTACATTGCCAAACAATTAATTGAATTCGAACAGAAACGGGACCAATTTCCTTTAGTTTTCCTGTATATCTGTATTTTTCCTATAAAACTTAGTACTTTAAGTAACAATATTTGCAATAATAAGTTATTCTAATTTAACTTTACATTTACTATATTATAAAAAACATACAATCTTCATTAAAATGCAAAAATGTTTAATAATAACGATAAGGTATTTTTCTTGCTTTACTAAATAAAATTGGATAACTTAAGAACTAAACTTATATTATTATTTTGTTGTAGAGCCCTGTTTATCCTCAGTGTATCTTATCACATGAAGTTCGTGTGTTGTTAAATATAAGTTTTCTAGTGCGCTAAAACTAAACTTCACATAAAGTGTTGCCCAAATCCAATCGTAATATGATCAGAGTATGATCAAGCAGGAATAGTGTTTCTTGCCTGCCAAAAACTAATCGCACATTGGGGCCAACAGAGCGAGATTTTGGGAACAGCAGTCGCTTCACCCACGCACTTCAAGTGCTCACCCACCCATTGGCCGTAGGCCATCGTCATGCCCAGATCCATACCCGTACCGTAACCATACCCAGATCCCAGTCTTTAACTGTACCAGAGATTGGGTCCCAGCCAGTTTGCTCACAGGCCAGTTACTTACTGGCTCACCACGATGTGCGATTGTGTGTGTTGGCCATGTGGGTTAGAAGTGTGTGCGTCATGTACTTGGCTCTGCCGTTTGTTGTTGTTCAATTCCCACAATTGATCCAGCTTCAATTCATTCATTGATCTACAAGTTCAAATGTACTGGATGTGCTTCGGGTTTCATAATAATTAGTTTACTTCTTCATTTAGTTCAAAAAATGAATTAGTTGGTTTTTAATTTGTAGAACTATCGACTTACAGGCGATTTACTCGAGGATTTGTTTCTTAGGATTTGTAAATTGTTAACAGAAAGTGGTTAACAAACTTAATATATTTAATTAAATTGTTATATTTTTAAATTTTATATTTTTAAACAATCTAGTAAATTTGAATCAACTTAAATTTTATTGCAAATCTTACTTAATATAATATAATAAATATCCGTATATATAATTTAAATTAACTGAGCTACTTTAGATTCTTTTGTGTAAAGCCAATTATTTGCCTACCTTCTATTTGCAGGTGCCACAGTTGTGTCCTGGCGGGTAAACAATCAGGAGCAGTTGTTTGTCAGGTGAGTGGACTGAACTTTGCCAGCTAGCCTGGCACCCTTTAAACATCGCTCATACGCCACGTCGGCCGAACTTTAAGACCGAACTTACGCAAGCCCACGGTGTGCGTTGGTCATGCAACCAAAAAAGTGATTCGCAAAGTTTTCAGCACACAGTGGCGTCGGGCAAAGGGAGGGGGGTCACCAGGGGGCCGACAGGTTGGGCAGGAGCAGCCTTAGCCATTCTGTTTGGCGGCAAAATGTTTTTGTATGACACCCAACAAAAAACACGTCGGGACCGAGCGGGCCCAAACGTCGAACCAGCGAACCGAACCGAACCGAAAGCGACCGAATGGCAAAAACACCAAACACAAAAACTCGAAAACACAGGGACGGCGGCGGGGGAATCCCCTTCTCGGCGGCTAGGAGCCGTTGCACTTGCATCAAGAGCTGCCTCCATTGATGGCCGTTTTTTTCGCCCTGTTGCTGCCTACTCCTGTTCCCTGGGCCTGCCCCCCTTTTGTCCACTCCACCTCCCCCTTTGTGGCAAAACAATGTGCAAGTTTTTATGAATGGAGTTTTTGGCGCGGCCAGCTAGATCGATAAATCCCCACTACATGGGCAGCCCTCCACTCGGCACAGTGGTTCGGAGCACCAACAACTTTCGGCCAATTGCCGGGTTCTTGGCCAGCTCCCACACAATTTCACTTGGAACGTTAGCCCCTCGACGGCGCTCCTAACTTCTTTTTTCTTTCGTCTGCTGGAAAGTTTTAGTCGGTTTTTGTGGCCACCAGTCGCATTCGGAAACCCACTAAAAACTGGCAGTGGTCATGGACAGAGCGAGGCAGTTGGAAACGAAATTAATTATTTGCCTGGTTTAAGACTGCCCGGTTTAAATAACTTTTATTTCAAAGCAAACATAATTAGAAAGGCTGAAAATAAAGACACTTGAAATATAGAATAATTTTGCTTTATATTTCTAACGCTTGATAGCTAATTCAATTTATTTTCTTAGTTTTGAGTATGAATACAAATTATTTTGAGAGGACGGTTTGCAAAACAAACTAATATTTCAACCGAATGAGTTAAGCTATTATTATTTAAAAAAAACAAAACAAAAATCGAAACATCTTCGCTCCGAAGTTTTAGTAGTTAATTATAAACTAATCGAAAGATTGGTAGCAAAAATTATAAAATACATTTTATTTTAGTGGATATCCCACTTTGTGTCAAATGCCGGACTTAAATCTCTTGAATATTAATGAAATTCGCCATGTCAAATGCGTTCCACAGCTGAAAGCGTTTACAAATGATGCGCAGAAAGTGAACGAGAAACGGAATCAGCAGCTTAGGTAGATTCAGGGGCAGAAGGAGTTGCTTGATGGATGCGTCGGCAAATTAGCTGAGACGAAACGAAAGGCAAGTCCCAACTCGGGGCAACGTCATCCTCAGCGGCAGAAGAAAAACAAAACACAAAAAAGGGGCAAGGAGAATTTTGCCAGACACTTTTTTCTGCTAATAGCATTTCTGAATTTCTGAATGTCTGTCTCAGTCTGCAAGCGTTTTTATGACTGGAATATTTTCGAGTAGCGTCTAACCGAATTAATCGAGCCTTTTCTCTTCAACCATCTCGTTTCCCTCAGCAAACTGGCCTCGTTCGATGGCAAGAAGGCGATACGTGGCGGGATTCCCTTTGTCTTTCGTAAGTTTGCCAAGATCCAGGAACTTTGCAGTGCGATAAGCTTATGTTTTCCCCCGCAATTACAGCCCAGTTCGGAGCTTGGTCCTTCGGGCCGCAGCATGGATTTGCGAGGATTACCCGGTGGCATCTGGAGAGACCACCGGACCGGCTGCATAATGGCGATGTCGAGGCAATATTTTCACTGATGGACAACGACTTCACACGCTCCATTTGGAACTATCAGTAAGTTTAACAAATTAATTTAGAGCTCTTAAGTAATTAAGTTGAATTTCTCAATAATTTGGTAGGTAAATCAAACAAATCTTAAGCCACTTATAAAAAAATTGTAAATAAGAGAAGAAGTGTAAGGAAAAGTGGCAACAACATTTTAAAATATTTTTATAATGGATATCTTAAATATGTTTTTAATGGATTTACAGCATTGTTTTGAGATGTATATAATTCAACGTCAATCAATCTTCACTAACGCCGTTTCCTTTCAGATTCCGTATCACCTACCGGTTGATCCTACGCGAAAAGGAGCTCCACTTCCACATCGGCGTCTACAATCCCAGCAAGGAGCTGAGCTTCACCTTCAACATGCTGCTGCACACCTACCTAAAGGTGCCCGATGTCCGTCGTTGTCAGATCACAGGACTCCAGGGCTGCCACTTCATCGACAAGACTCGGGAGAACGCGCTCTATCAGGAGGGACGCGAAGTGGTGACCGTCAACGAGTGGACCGACAGGATCTATCAGCACACACCGCAGGAGCACGTCATTACCAACGTGGTGTCCGGACGAAAGATGAGACTGCACAAGTACAATTTTCCCGACACGGGTAAGTAAATATTTGATCGATTTGATCAAATTTTATAATTATTGGTTTACCTTGGTAAAGTTCGTAAGGCAAAGATAATATAAATGTATTCTATATTATGTTTCAGTCATCTGGAATCCTTGGATCGATCGATCGCGTGAGATGAGTGACTTTGGGGACGACGAGTTCCCCAACATGTTATGTGTGGAGGCGGGCAACGTGACCTCGCCCGTGATCCTGCTGCCGGGCACCGCTTTCGAGGCCAGCCAGATCCTTCAGGTAGAGCAGCCGGTGCTGGAGTAACCCCATCTAACCCATCCTAACAACCAGACCTATTTCACCCTCCCAGCAATTCAAGTGTCCCTATACTATAAATTCATCCAATTGGAAAAGCAATCTAACCAACTTCCTACAATACGACTAGAGTCATACTGTCCACCTCCATATTCCAATTCCAATTCTTTACTTTGCATGCTATCAGATCATCATCGAGGGGAATGTTAGTCGCAAGACGAAGAGGAATCGCTAGCGTTTAAAGAATCGGAACCCAATGAGGTAAACCGATTCGCAACCATGTCAATGCGCACTTTTCCACAGAGATCCTGGGGCGATGAATTGGCCCACTAGATGAGGATCGGCGTCAGAAGGAGCAGGAGAATCAGGATGAGGAGGAGGAGGAGGGAGTCAGGAAAATGTTTGGTTATTCCCGCACGGTCTCTAGACTCTAATATATTTCTTAAGTAATCGTAAATCCCTCTCTAGCAATATGTGTTGTGCAAAGAATGATAAAGGAATAACTTCGTTAACCATCCTTAGTTTGTGCCTACTTGGAACTGACTTAATTGGAAGTCGATAAGCAGTTTTGACATTCCTAGCCAGGGGAAAGACCCTTAAATAAAATGTGCATTGATAGTTATTTAATCAGGTTCTATGGAGCAGGAAGTGACGGTAGCGGAAAATATGGCTTTTAAATCGAGCAAATTTAAGTATCTTCTGGCCAAAATTAAAAGGATCCCTTTAAAAGTAGCATCAAATCGCTGTTACTATAAAAAATATTTTCGTTCATTGTGATGACCTCACTTTCTGCTCTAAAATCTTACTTATTCAGCAAATATAGATGAACTAAACTAATGAGTAATGGGCCCTTCTAGCTCTGGTCAGCACCCATTTCATAAACGTGTATACGATTGAATATAGATAACTTACATAATGTTTTAAACCTAATATGTGTAAAATACTAAAAGCAATTATCTGTACCAATTAATGTAATAATCTTGCAATTAAATGTAATTGTAACTATGAAATTAATGTTTTTATGGGGAAAAATAAAAAGGTCGGGTAAATCAAATTTGTTTCAAAATTGTGTACGTGTTTTTTTATATATTACAAAAATACTAGCTGATTTGCAGATTTGTAAACCTATTTGTATTATTCAAAAACAAATTCCTCGGCCTCGTCAACACCGGCGATTGTTTCCCAGTCGGTTTCATCTTTAATTATTTCAAACGGCATGAGTCCTTGAAATAACCAATACATCGTCATGCTGACGTTGGACATTATCCGTGCCTTGACAGTCTTTTTTCGTGGCTAAAGACATAACATTTTAATGTTTATGGACTTTTTAATAATGTTTTGCTTACAGCGTAACATTCAGAAAATCCATTATTAAATAATATTAGATAATATAGCACATAGATTGCTAGCCATGTAGCATGTAATACTATGCGGAACATTTCGAAAACAGAAATCGTTAAACCGGACTGAAGCGGACTTTAAATGCAACTGAGTTCAAAACGTATGTCTGCGATCGATACAAATATTTTGCTTTCCTGCTTAGAAACTTACACTTGCAGGTGTCGTACATTAAGCTTAGTTTATTTCATTTTTGTTTGTTTTATATCAGTTGCTTAGATTAGATTCTTTACATACATATATAAATTAGGCATTTCTAGATTGATTCTAAAACGCAACGCTCTCGCAAATCGAGCCACTCCCAGGGGTCAAGACATATATGCTGAATATCGTGTTTCGACTTAGTAAGTGGTTCATCAATTGAAGCTGGGACAAGAAGGGAAAATTAGCTCACATGGCTGAGTCGTCCAGTTTGGTTTTAGTTTCCTTTTTTTTTTGTTTCTTTTCATTTTCGCAGCTGCACGAGACTTGGTACAGTTGCTTTATAAATATATTTATGATCGAATGATATTGCAAGGATAGTTTGGTGTACAGCGTGGCGAGTGGATGACACTGGTTCTTTAGTCGATCTTCACTGCTCCGTAGATTCTCAGAATGAAAACGTAGGCGGCAAAGAAACCAATCGAACCGGTCAGAAGCCAGAAAGTGAGCACCATGAGGCCTGTTTTGGAAAAGATGTATTAAGCTCAAAAATTGTTGGTGATTGTTAATAGATAACTTACCCGTATAGCCCAAGTAGAGCAGTGTCGGTATAAATTCTGTAATTTCCAGCTTGGTGAAAAAGTAAAAGATGCTATAGAAAAGCACGTAGACGGCCGAGCCGCCTGAAACAACAAAACTGCGCCACCACCAGCGGTAGTCCTATAATCAAACAATGAAAATATATTAAGCTTTTCCCTTTTAAAATGACAATAATAAATCTCACCTCGCCACAAAGCTGGAAATATGTCATAACTATGGAGATCTGGGCACAGCTAACAACTAAGATGCAAAACACCAAGAATAGAAAGCCAAACAGGTAGTAGAACTGATTCTGCCAGATGGCCGTGAACACAAAAAAGAGTTCAATAAAGACGGCGCCGAAGGGCAATATTCCAGCCATTAGAGTACTGCAAAGTTGCGGTGTTAATTTAGTTTAAAAACTGCGATGCACTAAAAGATTTCTGCTCACCTCAGAACTGCATTCATGTACCAGTGCTGTGTGGGCACTTGCCGCGGTATCATGTTGGTGCGCACTGGGTGCTGATAAGGCTGCTTGCGATAGCCCAGATAGAATCCCAGGTAAACCAGGGGAACCGAGATGCCAAACCAAAGCAAAAGCAGCGAGATCATCGTGGTAAAGGGCACAGCACCGCTAGACGACTTGTCCCAGATGAAGAAGTTCAAAAAGAATCCAGTGCTACATGCAAATAAATAACAGATTAGAATTGGAACATTCAAAAGCCATGTTTAGCTTAGCTCAACTTACCCAAAGACAATGCCTGGATAGAGAGTTGCGGTGAGAAAGGCCGCCCGCTTCCACTCGCGACCTTTCATAGTCTTGTATAGACGCGCAGCATAGTATCCTGCGATGGTGCCCATGAAGACGTACATGAAGATGCCGGACGTCATGAGGGCACCTCGCGACGAAGGCGACAGCATGCCCAACATGGCAAAGAATATTGTTATCAACGCCATAAAGAAGATCTGGATGCCGCTGCCAATAATCGCTGAAAACAGTCTAGTATTCTTTGGTGGACGGAACACATCGCCATGCACCAGCTTCCAGCCAGTCTCCTCCAGCGTATCCTCAATATTATCATCGGTATTGTAGCGTGCAATGTCCCGACGCAGGGTGCGGATCATAATCATAGTGAGAATTCCAGAGAGGAAGAAGACCACCACCAGCGAGTTGATGATACTGAACCAATGGATCTGGACGTCGCGCATTCCCAGGTAGATGTCCCAACGCGAGGCCCAGCTCACTTTGGATTCCTTCCACTCCACGGAGTAGGTAAAGTACAGCTGCGTCTCCCCGTTGGGATTGACCAGCTGTGGCCGAGCACTGTCCGGGAAATTGCATGTGTCGCCGTGGAACTTAAGCTCCTTGTGGCTAACCGAAACCGTCTCCACCTCGAAGCCGACCACACGGTACTTGTCCTTGGAGTGCATGTGATACGATAGGATGAACTTCAGGTGGTTGTTGATGTATATGTTGTCTCCGTCCACCTGGCCCAACCTATATCCGTGCTCGTAGGTCACCTCGGTGGGACTGCTGACGATACGCGTGGCCACCGGCAGGTTGTCCACCAGCAGATGGACAAAGTACTCGTGCTGGATGCGCTCCGCCACCAGAGCGGAGTCTTCTTTGCTCCAGGTGAGCGGCCTGTCTTTCTGGTTGCACAGAAGGCGGCAATTGACCTGCTGATTCATCCGGACCTCGTAAGGCGTATTCACAATCCGGTCGCCGCGCAGCACCTCGCCCAGATTCTCCGACTTAAAGATCAGAGTGCCATTCTTGGGATAGCAGAACTTCAGCGAGTAATACTGATAGGGCAGCTGGGTGCGGCTGCTGGTCATCTTAACGGCCTTCACATCGATCTTCTGGTCCTGGACGAACTCCACCGGCGCCACGCCGGGCACGTAGAAACAGTCGGCCACCAGGACGAGGGCCACCAGCAGGACCACTGCCAGCCATGGCCTAGCCACAGTCCCAAACTGAAAGAAAGAGTTGGTCACATCCTGGATTAGTAATCCTGCTTAGTAATCCAAAAGCCTGCGTGTCGCTCTTTCACTCTGTCACTCCCAAAAATCACCTGCATGGTTAACGTGTTCGGGAGAGCTGAAGAAGTCGCCGCTGGACCGTCTGTTGACTGCAATTCACTGGGAAACTATATATTTGGTATATTTAATGTATAGTTTCTGCGTCTCCCTGCTGGCAAATCTTCAGACTTTCGGTGCTGGGTAAGTCGTGGCTGGCGCAGTGTTGGAAAGTTCCGGGAGCGACCTTTCGTACGGGCCTACAAATAATGTGCTACCGATTACAGATGATATCGATTCTATGGCGCTAAAATTCAAAGCCGAACGTAACTGTTATATACTGCCAATTTTAATATTTACAAAATACAAAAACTATGCAAAGCGAAACATTTTTTACAAAAGTTACCATATTCCCTTTGTTTCCATAAACAATGTTAAAACAAACTGGACCTGAGTCATATATTATTAAGAGTGGGCGCATTTAATTACATCAGAATCTACTTTTCTTAATTCTCGTACTCATTTGTTGAATAAAGGATTAAATTAATGCTTTTCCTTTTTTTTATACATTTATTCTTTTATGTTTTCTTTGTGCCTTATAATCATTGCGGCCAATTTCTTCATGGTTAGCTTATAGTAGGTTTTAAACTTTAGTTTTGCTGTAAGCTATAAAAGCTTCAAGGAAGCAGAAGCTTATATTCCACTTAAAAACAAAAGTTGTTCATTGTAAAAAGCTTATAGATTTAGATGTAGTAATTTTAAAATCAATTTTAACGATATTTTCGAATAATTTGTATCTGGCGATAACTTTTTTTGTTCACAAAATATGTTAAAAGGCAATTAATGTTTAGTTAGTCAGAATAAGAAGTTTTAATCACATAGGATTACAATAAAAATGCCTTTTAAAAAGAAGATTATATTTTTTAACTTACCGTATGTATAGGTAATCAAAAACGTGTATTTATTAATATAATTGTACGATTTTAAACTGTAATAACAAAAGCATTTAATTAAATCAATTTTGAAATCTCATTATCCGTACACACTTATGGACAAACAAACTCTTGTAAAACAGATTCGACTTTTGTGTATTTGCACAATGTGGTTTTTGTTTTCATGTGTACAAAAACAACAAATAAACGACAGCGCTGGCAGGATCAACAATACAATAAACAGTAATGCTTAAACACAGACAAATAAACATAAACATTTATGTCAATAAAATGAACTGATGCCTGACCCGTTCGGTCAGATAAAATGTCTGACAGAGGCGCCCTGCCCACATTAAGATATATCTATGAAATCCCACATGTGTGCACACAGGTCCACAGAGCGCCCAAACTGCAATTGTTTCGTCAGCTTTCTCCTGGTCAAATACTGACGTATCCTTTTAAGCATCTAAATGGAATTTTGTCAAGAGCGAAATATGCACGGGTGTCAAGATTTTTTTATGTATGAACTGAAATAAAAGTATAAACCTCAATGAAACTATAATTCTTGGCATATGTTTTTGCTAACTTTTTGACACTTTTATAAGCGATTTCAAAACTCGTAATATTTCTGTAGCACTCTTTAACTATTTAACTACTTATAAACATAATGAACTTTAACGGTAAAGCTATATACATTAAGGTTAAAATAATTATTATGCGGCAAACTTCGTTCTGTGAAAAAACCGTAAAGAACATTTTAAGCCTTAACTTTCGCGATTTTTTACTGGTATTTAATACCACATGCATTAATTAAACTTTTGAGAGGCTTTTGCATTGGTGGTGAAACTAATTCCGTTTGCATTTTAATATTAATTAAATGTGCGAAGATGTATGAAATATCTTTTATGAGTATATATTTGTTGCGGCTTAAATCGGCTTTT